CTGTTTTCTACCCGTTAGCCACTCTTCAATCCATGTTAATATGTTCCCATTAATCCTGTGGGCCTTAACCTTGTGCAATAGCCTTTTGTGTGGCACTTTGTCAAATGCCTTTTTAAAATCTAAACATACTACATCTACTGGTTCCCCCCTATCTAACCTGCCAGATACATCTTCAAAAAACTGACAGATTAGTTAAGCGTGACTTCCCTTTTGTAAAGCCATGTTGGCTGCCTAATCTTGTTATGGTCTTCCAGGAATCCCATAACGACATCCTTAATTAAGGACTCAAGAATTTTCCCTACCACTGAAGTCAGACTAACTGGTCTGTAGTTCTCCATCTTTTCTCTCCCACCCTCTTAAATAGTGGTGTCACGTTTGCAATCTTCCAATCAATGGGAACCGTTCCAGAATCCAGAGAATTTTGGAAGATCAAAGACAAGCCATCCACTATCTCAGTAGCCACCTCTTTTAAAACCCGAGGATGTAGGCCATCAGGTCCAGGGATTTATCAGTTTTAAGACCTGATAATTTACCTAAAACCATTTCTTTACTAATATTAATTCCTCCAAGTTGCTCACTAACATTGTCTTCTTGGTTCCCCTCTATTCTTGGTAGGTTTTCAGTGTCTTCTAAGGTGAAGACAGTAGCAAAGTACTTGTTTAATGACTCTGCCATGTCTTTGTCCCCTACTGTAATTCCCCCGTCTCTGCCTGTAGTGAACCCACATTTACCTTTGACAGCCTCTTCCTCTTCATATATTTATAAAAACTCTTGCAGTCTGTCTTTATGTTCTTCGCTAGTTTGCCCTCATATTCCATTTTCTCCCTCTTAATCACTTTTTTGGTTCTCCTTTGTTGATCCCTAAAGTTCTCCCAATCCTCGGGTTTACTACTCATCTTAGCTGTTTTATAGGCTTCTTCCTTTAACTTTATACTGTCCCTGACTGCTCTAGTTAGCCACGGTTGGGCCACCTTTCCCGTGGCATTCTTATTCCTTAAAGGAATACGTGCTCGCTGGGAATTTTGCACTCCTTAAACGTCTGCCATTGCTGGTCTACTGTCAAATCCTTAAGTCTAATTTCCCGGTTTATTTTGGCTAAATCCTCTCTCATACCAGCAAAATTGGCTCTTCTTAAATTTAAAACCTTTGCTTCAGACTTAACTACTTCTCTCTCTAACTTAATGCTAAATTCCATCATATTATGATCACTTTGCCCAAGAGGAGCCTTAATTTCCAGTTTCCTGATCAGCTCTGCTTCATTACACAAAACAAGGTCTAATATGGCCTGTTCCCTGGTTGGACTCCTCAGCAAACTGATCCAGATAATTATCCCAAATACATTCTATAAACTTTCTCTATCATACTTTTCCCAATTTGGTTGTCCCAATCTATGTGCAGATTAAAATCACCCACAATTAATGTTTTTCCTTTGCTACATGCTCTGCTAATTTCCTGATTTATACCTTGAGAGATACTGTGACTGCTGTTTGGGGGTCTATAAACTACTCCCACTGGAGTTTTCTGCCCCTTCTTGTTACATGCCTCTACCCATACTGACTACTTCCTGCTTTTCTGATTTAAAATCTTTCCTCTCTACTGTTTTTATCCCATCCTTTATTAGCAGGGCCACCCCCTCGTTTACCACATTGCCTATCTTTCCTATACACCACGTACCCTGGAATATTTAGCTCTCACCCTTGATCTCCCTGTAACCGTGTCTCAGTGACGGCTTCCAGATCATACCCATTTGTTTCTATTTGTGCATTTAACTCATTTATCTTGTTTCGAATGCTTCGTGCATTCAGATATAGCGCCTTTAATTCTGACTTCAGGCTATTAGTCCTACTCACCAGTACCCTATCCCTGGGCTTCCTTTCCCCGTTTGACACCCTTTCCTCATCTCCCTGGTTAATCTGCTCTCCCACTTTCATCGGTCCTAATTTTAATTGTAAAGGATTACATGTGATTGAATTTACACCCCCCCCTTAGTAGTTTAAAGCCCTTTCTACCTCCCTATTTATTCATGTTGCCAGGACATTTGTTCCAGCCCTGTTTAGGTGGAGTCCATTCCTTTGGAATAGCTCCTGGCTCCCCAATACTGGTGCCAGTGGCCTATAAAGTGAAACCTCTGCCCTCCGCACCATACTTTTAGCCAGGTATTCAGCTCTTTAATTTTTTTTCCTGTACCAATTTGCCCCCGGCTCAGGTAATAATCCCAATATTAACACCTTCAATTTTCTAATCTTTATCTTAACTCCCAATTCCCAGAACTTGCTCCTCAACTCATCCCTACCTGTCCTACCTACATCATTGGTCCCTATGTGAATCTTAACTATTGGAATCACTCCCTCCTGCTTCAAATTTTTCTCTAGCCCAGAAGTGATGTCCTTTACCCTGGCCCCAGGAAGGCAACAGAGTCCTGTGGAGTCCTGTAGCTCAGTGGTTAGAGCACTCGCTTTGCAAGTGAGAGACCTGAGTTCAATTCCAGGCAGAGGGCGAAACCTTGGGCAAGTTTCCTTACTCCACACAGAGCCTAATAATAATCCCTCCAAAAAACAATAATTAAATTGGTCATTTTCAATCTACGACTGTTTGTGGGACATTGCTGTGCGCAATTGGCTGCCGCGTTCACCCACAAATATACAGTCAATTCACTTTACAGTGTGTTCTGTGAAGCGCTTTGGGACGTCCTCCTGACGTGAAAAGCGCTATATCAAATGCAAGGATTATTATTATTATTATTATAGAGTCTTCTTGTCTCCTTGCTACCGCTGCAGAAAAGTGTGTCAGTCTTCCTGACTCTCTCATCCCCAATCACCACTATATTCTTTCTGACTATTCCCAGTGTGGCCTCCTGTATAGAGGTGTTGGGGTAAGTTTGCCCATCTTCCTCACAGACTTCCTTTTCCACACAGGTTGTAAGTAATTCATACCTGTTGGACAGGGTTAAAGCCTGGGGTTCCTCTGCCCCTCTCTTTCAGGTCCTCTTACACAACTGTCTGACCATCACCCAGTCCTGTCCATGGCTGGCAACAGAATGATCCCAGGGACTCATGGGAGTGTCTGGCTGCAGGATGAAACTCTAATGCTGCACAGTGTCTCCACCTGAGACTCCAGCTCAGCTATTCTGAGCTGGATCTTCCTCAGTTGCAGACATTTGCTGCAGATGAAGTTACCCAGTCTCAGGGCACCCTCCATCAACTCCCACATACCACATTCCTCACACATCACCTGCCAGGTCATTCTCTCCTCTCACTCTATTTATCCCTGTCTTATAGTTGTTTAGAAGATATACTTCCCCCTCTGCACCCAATTCTCACCTCACTCCGGACGTAGCTCACTCTGGTCTCTCTGCTCAAGTGAGGCGCTCGCAGCTTTCCCCTTTATATACACTCTGGATGCAACCAGTTTCCAATTGGTCAGCAGTAATTTAGAATTAACACCTAATCAAGTGATTAATCAGTATGTTGCTTGTTATTGGTTAAGTCTAACTCTAATTAGTTACAGCTGCTCCCTGTAGAGTTTCACCACAAGACCAATCTACCAGTGGTATCAACAGTTTTAACAGTTTTTAGTAGCACCACATTTGAACACTTACAATAGCAGTTCCCACAGCAATTCCCACTCTTACCCAATTCCTTCTCACTCTGGCCTTGTCTCACTTTGGACGTAGTTCACTCTGGGCTCTCTGCTCTTAGACGTGGGGGAAAACTGACCATCGTCAGTACAGTACTCATTTACAGTCTAGTGGTTAAGCACTATTCACACATTTGTTATGTTAATATTAGTATTATCATGCATGCTTTTTATCTTGCATTTAAATTTGTTCATTCGGTTTGGGCAAAAACAAAGCTGAATTTGCATTCCTGAAATCTAGTTCTATATTGATGGATTCTGAACACCTGAACACCCTCAGCATTTTGATTAAACAATTCAATATTTAATCATCCCGGCACCCCATTAATTCCCTCAACCCTCCTGCCAAACAGAAGCTATATCACTTAATTTTCAATTCAGATTTCACTTGTTATTTATATCTGGGAGAACTGTTTTACCGATATTGCGCAAATCAGTTTTTGGAGTTGATTAGATTTTCACTGAGGAACTCAAAATGGTTTGTACATGTACACACTTCATGAACTCAACTACCTGAGGTACCAAGAACACAGCAGAGTAATTGTGAGCGAGGGCTTCGCTCACACGCTCACACAAGAACATTATGTAACATTCTGAACTTTGCCAGGAAGGTGGTTGAGGGCAGGACACTGGACTTGTTTAAAAAAACAGCTCAACGCTGTGATGGCAAGACGGGAGGGTGAGTATTATGGAAGGATGAGATAAAATGGGCCAATGGGGCCAAAAGGTCCTCTTCATCTGACGCGATCTTGTGAACTCAATGATGGGTTGTGGAATGTTGGATGTTGTGGAGAAAAGTAACAAAGATTCACAATCGTCTCCTCTGAGGAGACCTGATAAGGCGCTATATCAAATTAATATTATTATTAACAAGAGCAAATTGTAGTTATCCGGAGCCTTTCACATGAAAGATTTCAAAACGCTTTACAAAGATGAAGTGGGACATCCTCCTGATGTAAATGGCCTCACACAAACTTACATTTGTATAGGTCCTTTCATGTCAGGATGATGTCCCAAAGCCCTGGGCAGTCAGTGTAAATCAGGCTTCTCTTTCAGGTACAGAATTTACTAGCTGTGCTACACAAGCAGTGAATTGTTTAAGATAAATGAGTGTAACAGGGAATACCACTTTCCATGAAGAAAGGATCGATAACCAAGTCTGTATAATGGAAAACTGTTCTGCCTAATGACTGAATCCGCTCTCCAAAATTCTGGATTACTCCGTAGCTGTGAAAGGTGCAGCAAACAGGCCCCACGGCTTTTGTTTATTGGGGTTTAATGTCTCGGGAATGGTTTTGTAAAGCGGCCGACAAATCGGAATCTAACCTCGATCGTTCTTATCTGATTCCATTCTATTCCCGCAGAAAAACCACGGATGAACAGCATCCTTACATCCGCGACGGAGCCCTACGATCTTTCTTTCTCAAGATCCTACCAGAGCCTATCCCATCTCCCGCCATCGTACGAGTCTGCAGTCAAGTCTGACTTAAGCAAGTATTCTTCACTAAAAAGATTAAGTAGGTGTCTTACAGCAATCCATTAATGTTATTGTTCCCCCGTCATATTCTGGACCTCTTAGCTACCACAGGTTATCCCCTCACCCAAAGCACTGATAGATTAACACAGTGCCAGCTTGAACCCCAATGCAATGCACTCATATACAGCCTTTCATTTAAGGCAACATTTAAAAGCATATTTGCAGAGTCAGCAGTGAGAAAGGTGGAACGTAGGGAGGCCACCAATGGCAGGTCCACAGGACAAGTGTTTAGAAGGGATTAGACGTCCAAGGTAATTTGGTGGGTGAACGTGGGGCGGAGCGAATGGGAGTTGATCAGGAAACTTTAGAACAGGGAAGTAACCAGGTCAGGTGGGAGTACAAACGAGAGAATTCCAATCCACCCCTAGACTGTGAGCGAGGGCGGTGCGAAGCTCAGATACGATACATACAGTAAATCGAGACCAGCCCCCAGTAAAACTGCTTCACACAAAAGCATAGAATGTGGCACCAAACAGTATGTAGCCTCAAGGTCAAGAGACACTAGAGACACCTACAACTGGGCAAGAAAGATTTATGCAGTGTGGGACAGGCAGTTATTCAACTGATGCCAGTCAGCTCCGGCTGTCTGTTTCCTTGATACCTGGTCTCTGAGGGGATAATTCTGTCAGTGTTTATCAGCAGGAACGTCAGCCCATCCTCCCCGCAATCCAACACACTCATCGCTACATGTACCCATGTGAATATTGTTTGCATAATTCTATTTTAAATTGCAGATAAATGACTGATGTGTGCAGTTGAGGCAAGTCTCTAAACTAACTAAAGTCTTCCCAGCGTAAAAGGCGCTATCCAAGAGTCATTTTGTTATTTGTTGTTGTTGTAAGGTCATGCACATTATGCGTATCACTACATCCGACTCCACTGGTGTCAAATTACCCCAAGTAACACTACGATCCAACCCCCTCTCGTGTGTAAAATTGGGAGCTGAAGCTCATTGCGAATGTATTTTCTGTGCTTTCACAGGCGAGAAAGAGATTGATGAATACTACATGAAGAAGAGACACCTGCCAGACTTGGCGGCCAGGGGAACTCTGCCTCTGCACGTGATGAAAATGAACCCAGAACAAAGTAACTACAGAGACAGACCTCGCCGGCCTGTCAGGGCCATGTCCCAGGACAGAGTCCTGTCCCCGGAGAGAGAGGTGGCTCAGCAGTGCATCATGGCTTACGAAAGAAATCTGTCCGAAGAGCAGCTCTTGTCAGCCGAACGCCTTCAGTCGCAAGATCCCCTCCTCTCCCCGGATAAGGTCATGTCCTTGAAACGCACCCTGTTCCGAGAGAAGGCCATGTCCAGAGCCTTGTCCCAATCACACACAGATGTCTTTGTATCCACACCAGTCTTAGACCGTTATAAGATGACAAAAATGCACTCGCATCCCAGTGCCTCAAACAATTTGTACAATACCTTGAATCCCAATCAGGCGAATCAAACAAATCACATCGTTGCCAAGCGACATGCCTTTGCTTCGAGACGGCACAACACAGTTGAACAGCTCCACTATATCCCAGGACACCACCATAACTACCGCACAGCCAGCAAAACAGAAGTAACTGTTTGATCTTAATAGTGTGCATTGCCGATTTCACGATGAGAGAGTGTGGAAGGTTTGCCCAGAGGCGAGGCGTTGTGAAGCCGCACTAATTACTTGTGCCCTAATTTCTTATAAAAAAAACGAAAGCGCATTCGTTCATCCAAGCAAAATGGTGTATCATACCAGGCTTTAGTCTCTTCAGAGACATTCAGCGTTACTTCCCATCTCATCTAAAGGTTCCCATTTTAGTTGGTGGATGAGAACAATGGACCCCAGCAATCTCATCCAAGTGACGTGACAGTTTCTGTCAAAGGAAGCCATGCGACCTGACATGGTATTAAAGGGCTTAAAAATTATAAAGTCAGTGGTCAAAGATCTAACCAACTCGTAGCACGTTTTGGAGTAGATAGATATTTAGTGGAAATTCCTGGTTATTAATTTTGTAGATAGACAAATTTGGTGTTTTACTCACCAAAATGCTTGCGTTTTACTTTACATATTTAAAACATAGTCTGTTGAGGATTTCCATTTTCCAACGGCCTGAATAATATATTAATAGGAAGTGTAGGAGTTCATGGATAAACTATTTACAGCTTAAGCATTTCCATGGTACCTCTAGATTCCTTTAGTCCTGCGAGTTACAAGACGGTAACTAATGATGTTCCAGAATTCCTGACCTGGGATGTCACCACTTCAGGAGGTAGGGCGTTTGGTTGGGGATGTCCTCATCATGAGAGGGATGAGTAATATCATCGTAATAGTGGTAATATATTTGAGAATTATTCTCAAGAGAATGACATTTGGCGGATGGTGTGAAGGAGAGAACAGTAGGAACTCGGTTCCGTTCCAATGGACGATGGCTAGATTGATTATGGAACACGAAAGGGCTGCTCATTTTTACTTTGCATTCATTGATCCTCAGTTTGCTTTTAACATGGTGCAAAGCGCCAGATCATGTGAGGAATGAAATGACTGGTCACCCCCACCCACAGACTGAGCAAGTTTCTAGACTTGGGGAGTGAAATGAATGAAACAGAAGACAAACAAAACAATCTACTCATCTAAGTTTGGTAGATTTAAAAAAAACTTTGGAAAGCTTGCCTGGCATCTCACTTACATTTTCAGAAGAATAACAAATACTGGAATGATCTAGAAGCAAGATAAGTTTGATTTCAGTGTGAGTTTTGTGCATTTTTTAAAAATCTCTCTTATCTTCCTTTTGATTCTTTTATTTCTGGCATGTTTTCTTGTCTCATTCCATTATTTCCCAATGAGGTTTTAACACTTTTCTTTTTAACCTGATCTCTTCTCAGTGCATTCATTCTTTCTCTCAAGATTCCATTTCTTCTCCAATCTTCATGTTTTTCTTGCTTCAGCACATTAGCAATGATTTTTATAGAAGTGTGGACTCTGGCGAAAGCACTGGATTTACTGAGCTGCCACTACACCAAGTCAGGCTGGTCAATGAAGGTGACTTCATCACTGGCGAAAGCCAATACTGAATTTTGGGCAGGCAGTATGGATAGAAAGGGAGTTCAAGGGTTATGGAGGTGGAAAGTTTTGATCAATCAACAGTAATGAGGCAGCTTAACCCTTACCAAGATGTAGTTGTTGGACCCGCCAAGTGGAAGTAGTGGAAATTATGTGTTTAATTGTGCAAATTGTAGATAATCCTTCAGATGGTTGCTTGTGGGGCACGATATACATAGGTCGAAGAGACTCGAGCCACGGTGTCTCGGGGACTAGTGAAGTCTGAAGTCTTTTACACAAGGTTACATTGCGGACTCCTGGAATGCAATTGTGGTGGATTGTTTCAGTGCATTTGGTAACATTGGAACCTTTGTGCTAAACAGTCTATTGAATGGTAACTAACCATTCAATATATTTATCTCCGTTACTGATACTGTTAGTTATCAAGTTCTTCAGTGCTGACAGTATGTTATTGGCATGGTGCGGTAGGATTGGAAATTGTGGACTGGTCAGATGGACATGAAGTGGCCTTTTCCTGTCCTAATATTATTTGAAGTCATTCGTAATTTTTAAAGCCTATACATTTTTCAAAGCTATAGAGGTCTATGTTTTCAGATTGGTTGAAGGCTGTTCTTGTCAGCGGACTCTGAAACAAGTGTTTGCGTTCATCATTTCATGCTTCCTTCTCAATGCCATGTCTGGAGGGCAACAGATCTCACAGCTGAGCTATTTGAGGCCAATTTTGCTTGGAGCAGAGACTTGCGATTGGATCTGGGACCATAAAGAAAAACTGGATTCATTGAAGCAACAAACAGCTTGATGATGTCAATGGAAAGACAGGAAGGTGGGCATTCGGCAAAGTGAGATCAAATGGGCTGAAGGGCTTTCTTCAGATATGGCTTCTCTTGCGATCGTTGAACGTAAAATTAGCAAAGGATGATCAGAGCCAAATGCTTACACCTGTGGATTCCATTAGGTGGGTTCCGATCCCAGTTTACACTAAACTCAGGTCTTCAATAAATGAGTTCCAGCAAGTTGCGAGATAAAGCTCTGCAGAGCAATGCACCGTAATGTCCTTGGAAAAAACAAGGCCAAATAATTTAAGAGGTAAGTAAACCTCTTATCAACCAATGCAGAAATTGTCTTGATGGCAAATGTGTACAGAACCGTGGGCCAGGCTTTAAAACAAAATTAAGTGAGGAAGCGAGCAGAATAAAATATGGGTTTATTTCATTAAAAAAGTCAATTCCTTTGACCCATTTCCTCTTCATGTGAAGCAAATCTGCAGAGAAGTTACTATTTTCCCTCACCCCTCCCCACCCTTCACAGTAAACTGAATTAAGCTCTTTGCTTTAATGACTACATTGAGTTGGAAGACCCAAACACAAAAAATATCTTAAAAAACGCCCCAAAGAATTGGTCAGTCCCAGGGCAATTTATACGATTGATTTTGAACCAATGCCAGTGCCTGTGTTGCATGAATTTATGGTCCTTTTGCTGTCTGCTTCAGATCAGGTCAGTTAAGAAGTCAAAGTCTTAACCCATGTTGTTGGAATTAATTAGAATTGAATGTTTGCAGAAGAAACCAGAATGGAGTTGGTGGAGAAAGAGAGAAAGGCAGAGAGGAAAAAAAATTTGGAAAGTTGAAATTGATATGTCATGGTAATGCTCTTTCTAGATATGTAAATAGGATAGTAACTAACTGAGTAAAGGTAATGCTTGGCACCCAATGTATTTTATTGATTGAAGCACAAGAGTAGGTTTGACTTAACTCTTTAAGAATGGTATATTTAACAATGTTACAGTGATGTAGTGGGAACTCTGGACAGAATGGTTCAAAGCCTAGAGGGGGGGGGGGCTATCAGAACATGGAGTTGACAGAGCAGGGGTTGTAGAGAGGTGATGTGAGTGATTGCGTTTAAGAAGGTAAGATAGAGATTTAGCAATTTGTGGTGTGGTTTGAGTATAATGGACTGCTTACATACAAGCGTTAATTTGAAAGTGCTAAAAAAAAATTGTAGTTATCCAGTGTTTCTCACCATGTTCTCAGATGGCAGCTCATTGACCAGAAATGTCTCTGGAACCAATGGCATGATATCTATGTTTGTTTTTGTAAAGTGGTGAAGGTGCCTCCCCAAGTTAAATGAATTGAGCCTTGAGTACGAGTTGCCAAGTGTAGTCCACTAGAAGCTGTGCTAACACCGATTGAGTCCAAATACAGCAGACGAACATGTGTATCTCATCATGGTAGACAGCTAGTTTTTTGTCCGAGACTGTGGATTGTAATGCATTCAGAAATACATTCACTAGTTGAAAAACCCGGAATTAGAAAACGCTTCTCATCTCGGCAAGAAACATTTGACTTGACTGTAAAGATTTATATTCATTACAGAAATCGGAAACTGTACAGTATGGAAGACCATTCACCCCATTGTGTCTGTGCTACTGCTCACTCTCCCTCATAGCTATCTACTCTAATCTCAGTCCCCTGCTATTTCCCCAAACCCTTCAATACATTTCCTGAAGTATTTATCCAATTCTCTTTCAAACATCACTGTGAATTCTGCTTTTAACAGTCAGTCAGGTGTGGAAAGTAAATGTACATTGTACCCTCCATGTAGTAACATTATTAAATATTTTTTCCCCCTCTCCCTATGGTGATAATTTATGGAATAGGAGGAGGAGGTGAAGGAGAAGGGGAAGAATGGGATATTTGGCAATGTTGTAGAGTTATACAGAGGATATATGTACACAGTTTGAAATTAGATTAAGCATAATTTTCCACTGGCATTACTATGTACAGTCTAGATATCAACAGAAAGTGCTGCAGGTTAACCGTGGAAGACAACAGTGCTCACAGGGATAGAATGGTAAGTGACTGGGAAGCAATGTTGAACAGCCAAGTCATGACAATTCATTGCTGAGGGGTTTGCAACAGATGCTAAGTGTTGCATTATGAAGCCGGTAGGAGTCATAACTGCAACATAATCGTAAACTGTCCATGAATCTTTTTCATTTACAAAATGCTCGTTGATAAAATTTACAAAATGCTCGTTGAATTAAATCGTCAAGATCCCTGGTTTGGGGAGGAGGGGAAAGCAATGGGAATGACACAGATCAAGGTAAAAGAACAAGTGTACGTGTTGCATAGTGTTGCAATGTAGTTTGAGAATCAACAGGACACGTTGGTTATTCATAGAGAATCATACATTGTGGTGCAATGGGGGCGTGATCTCACTTCAACACAAGAAATGGGCTGAAGACAGGTGCCATCACTGGGTATAGCTTTAAACACAGAAGACACACACACATAGGTGTTCTGTCAAGTCTTGGACCTTTATGTGGCTTCATTTGATGGAAACTGTGATTGTTGTCATCTCAGAAACCTGTATCAGTTTATGTTAATTCTACTTATTATTAATACGAATCCAACTACCTGTGAGGTCTGCTCCTCTAGTTTATCTCATTTATCTGCAGGCCATTCAGTGTAGGACGAGTAGCAACCATTCAGCCTTTCACCATATATAAACTTGGGTGAAGTTTTATATCCCAGAAAGTTTTGACCTAAGCTTCAAAACTAGATGCAGTGTAATAGCTTATTACCTTGATTAATAATGATTACAGATTAGAGACGTTTTGTAGCTAGTACTTAACAGGCTATGAGACGTATTGTTACTATAAACATTTTTACTTTAGTATATGGGGTGGGGGGGGGGTGTGGGGGTGGGGGTGTGGGGGGGGAACGTATTTGCTAAGAGAGAGGTGATGATTTTGTGTCTTAGGTCTTTATGGATTAAATGTTTATGGTAGTATACATGACAATGTATCTTTGTAACCGTTACTTTGCACAGAATATTGGTTTCAAGTTGAATAAGCTTTAAGATAAGCAGTATTTGACTGTTTCTCTGTAATTTAATTGCCGTACTACTTACCCTGTAAAAGCACATCCTATATGTACTGTATACAAAACTGTAACAAGTTTAGTAAAA